ACTATTCTATGATTCTATGATTCTATGTTTAAGTTACAATGAAGGAAGAACACTAACTAGTGTTAAAATAGCAAGAGGCATTATTCTTTAAGCGTTTTTCTTGGGTTTGATATTTTATTTTTGTGCTGTTAATAGACATTACTTCATGGATAATTTGTGATGGTGACATTGATCCTGAATGGATTGAATCTTTGAATTCCGTTTTGGATGACAACAGATTGTTGACTATGCCCAGTGGAGAAAGAATTCAATTTGGCTCAAATGTCAACTTTATATTTGAAACTCATGATCTTAGCTGTGCCTCTCCTGCTACAATATCTCGAATGGGAATGATATTTCTGAGGTAAGTCACAGGAATATTGCATACTTTTAAAGTAAGCATATATACTTGCTTTTCTTGAAAGATAGTCTAAAGTGGTTGGCACAATTTAATTACTTGCTTACATTTATGAACTGTTGTGGTTCAAGCCCAGCCGGCAACTTGGAACCATGCAGCCGCTCGCTCACTCCCCCCCCCCTCTTCCTCCCCCCCCCCGCTCCCAGAGGGGTGGGGAGGAGAATCGGAGGAATGTAACTCCCACGGGTTGAGATAAGAGCACTCCAGTAACTAAGGTATGATACAAACCACTACTGCTACCAATAATAATGATAAGAGGAATAACAAGGGAAAAGGACACAACCGCTCACCACCCGCCGACCGATACCCAGCCCGACCAGAGCAGTGATCTGGGCCTTCCGGGTAACTCCCCCCAGTTTCTATACTGGGCATGACGTGCTGTGGTATGGAATAGCCCTTTGGCCAGTTTGGGTCAGGTGTCCTGTCTCTGCTTCCTCCCGGCTTCCCCTCTTCCCTGGCAGAGCATGAGACTGAGAAAGTCCTTGGTCGGAGTAAACATTACTGAGCAACAACTAAAAACATCGGTGTTATCAGCGTTGTTCCCAGGCTGAAAGTCAAAAACACAGCACTGCACCAGCTACTGAGACGGAGAAAAAAAATGACTGCTGTAGCTGAACCCAGGACATGAACCAAATCACTGTGGAAGTTTAGGTTTTGCTTTTAGGTGTGCTGTCATGTTATTAACTTTTGGCTAATATATCTCATATTTTTTGAAAGGGATATGGTGGCTTCTTTGTTTGTATATGACCTTTAGAGACCTTGAATATTGTTTAGAAATTCTTGTTTAGATATTTCCCTGAACTTTTCCTGGAATTCTCTTGTTCCTTTGAACCTGTCTGTGTGGAGATGTGGATGCCTTTTATTTAACTGAATTTCATTTTGTTTTGTTTGGACTTAGTGATGAAGATACAGATCTTAATTCTTTGATAAAGTCTTGGCTAAGAAGTCAGCCTGAAGAATGTAGATACAACCTTGAAAACTGGATTGGGGACTATTTTGAAAAGGCCTTAAACTGGGTTGTGAGAAAGGTTAGTACCTGAATACTTAATCAAATTTCAGCTTCTCTTAAGGATGATCCATTTTTCTAGTTTAACACGGAAGAAATAATTCATGTTAATTTTTGAATTTTATGTAAAAAAACTCAGTGGTTTTTTGGTAGCTGTTTTCTTAATAAGATTAATACATTATCTGGACTCTTTGATTCTTGAATGTATATCATGATAATTGTTCTGCATATGCTAGATTTTCTTAAGGATTATAGATGCTTCTCTGCTTCCCCTTTTCCTAAAGGAGTTGCACATGCATTGAACAATCTTATGTTGCATAAGACGTTATTTAGCAGAAATGCTCACTGCTGTGGCCAGTAAGCTAGTGTTTGTGAGACCTGCATTACCTCCCCTTGTGGAACATATATGTTCCTAGTATGATTTTAATTTTATTTTCCCTCTTGGTTTTTTCACCCATGAAGATTTTTAGACTTTTAAACTATCTTCATGTGTATACAGAATCAAAACATAACATTGATCCTGAGAGCAAAATCCATAAACCGTCCATTCAAAGGAGACTTTTCCGTTATACTGTTATACGGTTATTCTCAAAATCTGCAAGGAAAGTTTTGATTGCTTATCCTAAATTACATCTGTATGTAGTCTGATATTGAAACTTCCAAATCAATGCTTATAAATAATCTAATTTCAAGTGTATTTTCTAGAACAGCAATGTTGAGATCTTTCATCATTTGTGTCAGTGTCAATGAGCAATGAATAATAGCCTGTTAGTAATACATCACATCTGTTTTTTGGAATATACTCAAATCTACTACAACTTGCAATTTACAGAATGACTCTGTGATAGAAACAAGTTTAGTTGGAACTGTGATGAATGGACTGTCTCATCTTCATGGATGTACTGATCATGGACAATTTATTATTAACTTGTTACGTGGTCTTGGTGGCAATCTCAACACAAAATCACGACAAGAATTTGCAAAAGAGGTAACAATATTTTTCAGCCACTTTATTAAAAATGTCTCAGTATATGTAGTAGGAATAGTGATTTTCTATCTTCTAACAATGCAAATTTACAGTAGTAGGCTGTCTGTGCTCTAACTTGTTTGCAATCTGTGTTGCCTATAGAGAAATAGCTGAGAAGTAAAGGAATGTTTCAGATGTCCCTAATATGCTGCTAAGGGCATTCAGTCCAGGTAGCAATCCTGTGGTGCTGCTTCAAGAGATGCAGAATGGTCTCTGTCCATGCTGTTTTATGCAAGGGCCCACTGTATCAGACTATGTGGGCATATATGTACTGTGTGTATTAATACAGATTTTATTTTGTGAGGGTTCTTTTCTGTTCAGAATGTGAGAGCTTTGTTGCACCTCACCAAGGGGGTGTTCTTACATCGTTATTTTGAGGTTATGTATTGTATGCACTAGAATATGGTTCTGTCTTTGTCAAGATACTTGGGGCCACAAGGCGTAGGGCACAGAGATGGAAAACTATGGGTATACTGGTCCATAGTGTCTACAGAAGCCTGTACCTGGAGATACTTATCTCCACAATCACACTTGTGTTTTGTGTTGGAGAGAAGGAAATAGTTCCTTTCAAAAGACAGCCTGGAACTACAACATATGTATAGGGCAGATGGTAGAGGTTCAGACTCAGCTTCTGGAATTAGCTAATGATGCATCCTGTGAAGGAGTTACCTCGTTCTTATGATTATTGCTAAGTATGTTGCCTGATAAGAAGAAAGGTTATATAAAGCTTTGCTAAATATAGTTTATTTGATGTTCTTCATATTATGAAAAAGTATCTGGAAGACTAATATATTACTGTTTAGTTAAGGACTTAATCATAAAGCATGTGCATAACATGATTGAATTTTCAAAAGCAGCCTTAAAACTATCAAATTGAAGAATTAAACATTTGATTTTACAGTATTCCTTGAACATTCTTTGATAAGCTTGAAAATGTAGATCTTGTCATTAGGACTAATGGAAACTTTATTTGTATTTTTTTTTAAGATCTTCAGCTGGGCACAAGAATCTCCACCAGATCCAAGGAAGCCCCTGGACACATACTATGATGCTGACACTGGACAGCTAAAGCAGTATCAGCTGAAAAAACCTGAAAACCTAACAGCTGATGACTTCATTAATCTCCAAACGCTTCCTGTCATCCAAACCCCTGACATGCAGAGAGGTTTAGATTACTTTAGACCCTGGCTAGACTTTAACAATAAGCAGCCATTTCTTCTTGTGGGTCCTGAAGGATGTGGAAAAGGGTAAAAAGTATTTCCTATTCTAAGCAAAATACACTTAGAATCATAGAATCACAGAATAGTTAGGGTTGGAAAGGACCTTAAGATCATCTAGTTCCAGCCCCCCTGCCATGAGCAGGGACACCACACACTAAACTATGTTGCCCAAGGCTCTGTCCAGCCTGGCCTTGAACACCGCCAGGGTTGGAGCATTCACAACTTCTTTGGGCAACCTATTCCAGTGCCTCACCACCCTCACTGTGAAGAACTTCTTCCTTATATCTAACCTAAAGTTCCCCTGTTTAAGTTTAAAGCCATTACCCCTTGTCCTACCACTACAGTCCCTAACGAAGAGTCCCTCTCCAGCAGCCTTGTAGGCCCCTTCATGAAATATTCCAATTTGTGAAGGAAATATCTAGCAACATTTTAAATTATGTTTCGTACACTTCTAGCTATTTGACGAAGTTTGTAATGTTTTGTTATAATGGTTTTATCGTGCAGCTTTCTGCTAGAATATCACTTGTTTAGGCTACTAATGAAAAAGCCTTTTATAGGGGCAAATAGGTAAATTCTTATGCAGATCTACAGGGACAGCTCAGGCTGCCTTTATGCATGTAAGACATCTGAATGACGCTTTTAGTTATGAAACAGGACCTTTGGGAAACCTGTGCTCTCCTGGAGCAACAGTTGAAAGACACATGAGGTATCCGGAGACACATGAGGTATCCAGTCTTATCTCAAGAGGCACTAGATACCTGTGTGTGGGCAACTGAATTTAGCTCATCCAGTTGCCTATCTTAGGTTCCTTATTTGGATGGGTTGGGTCACTATATACGAGATATTTAGGCTGGGTATTTGTTTTGTATAGATGTATACTACACTTTTATTGAATTTCTTAAATGGAAAATACTAAGGCAAGAATGATTAATTCAGCAAACCTCATGAATCACCTGCTACATTAGTGTAGTATGTATTATATGCATTTTAATTAAAAAACTATACAATATCTTCAGATACATGGTATTTTAATGCATTCATGTATTACTTATGCTTATATGTATGTACACATTTGCTTTTTCAGGATGCTGCTTCATTATGCATTTTCTCAACTCCGATCCACTCAGGTTGCTACCATTCACTGTAGTGCACAAACTACTTCTCAACATCTTCTACAAAAATTAAGTCAAACTTGCATTGTAATCAGTACAAATACTGGGCGAGTATACAGACCAAAGGACTGTGAAAGGCTTGTTTTGTACTTAAAAGATATCAATCTACCCAAACCTGATAAATGGGGAACAAGCACTCTCGTGGCTTTTCTACAGCAGGTGAACACTTATGTCTGTCATTTATGAAAAGACTTAAGTATACTGGAAATAGTTTAGTGTATGTATTAAATACCTATATTGATTATTTTCAGAGTTAACAGCCTGTATCTGTATTGACTTTAGTTTTGCATGTGCTTTGATAGAATATGTAGGTGTTAGCAAGAAATAAGATACATTTTTATTTGGTTTATATACATGGTGCTTCCCTCAATGGGTTATAATGCAGTATGCGTATGAATGACAAGAAAATCATCAGGAGTAGTCAGCATGGATTCACCAAAGACAAGTCATGCTTGACCAACTTGATAAACTTCTATAATGAAATGACAAACCTGGTAGTCAAGGGGAGAGCAGTGGATATAGCCTACCTGGACTTCACTTGAGGCCATTGATGCTGTCTCCCAAAAGATCATCACAGAAAAGCTGTTGATGTACAGGCTGGATAAGGAGATAGTGAATGGGTTGAAAACTGGCTTCACAGCCAGGTCTAGGGGATGGTGATCATTAGTTCAAAGACGAGTTGGAAGCCAGTACCTGTTTAACAGCTTCATTAATGGTTGGGACAGTGGAGCAGAGTGTACCCTTAGCGGGTATGCCGCTGATAGCAAACGGGGGGGGGTAGTATATTTCTGGCAGTTAAGAAAATAGTAGCAATGGTATGCTGCTCATGATTTCTTTATATGTTTTTTGGTTTTGTACGATACTCTGTTGGATTTCTTTTAATGAAATATTTATTTAATTATTAAAGGTTCTTACGTATCAAGGATTTTATGATGAAAATCTGGAATGGGTTGGCTTAGAAAACATACAAATTGTGGCTTCCATGTGTGCTGGAGGAACATTAGGAAGACATAAACTTACCCCCAGATTTACTTCTATTGTTCGTCTCTGTGCAATTGAGTAAGTATGGGAAAATTACTTTGACTCTGAGAACTCAGATTCAGCTTCTGTCTGTACAGCCCCTGCTCAATTTAGTCTTTATGAAGATGAGGCTGTTCTACTCTTTTCATCTTTTCTACAGTTTGGGATCTCTTTTTAGTGCTGTTTGGTACCTTTTGGAGCTAGAAACCAGCTATGGAGCAATCTATAGCTACCTGCTGATATTGAAGTGTTTGAAATATGTTTCCTGTTGAATGTTTTTGCTTTCAGTAAACTGCTTTAAGCAACCATAGATTAAGGTGGTGTTTTGCTTACAAAATTAGAGAAATTGAAAAGAAGTTGGGCTGTTTGTTTTTAAGTTTGAACACATTTAGAGATGTATTTAGAAGATTTCTGAGGGTGGCCCATTGCAATAACACTGCAATTTTACTTAGCTGCTACATGGAGATGCTATTAATGAAAATTTCTCAGCAATTGTACATAACTTGAATCTTTTTAATAAAAAAATTAACAACGATAGTCCATAATGATTACTTCATTTTTTTCTTTGCAGCTATCCAGAAAGAGACCAACTGCTAGCTATTTATAGTGCCTACTTGGAACCTGTACTACAGAAAAACCTAAAGAATCACCGTGTTTGGGGTTCTTTGCCAAAAATACATCAGCTAGCAGGATTTATGGTTCAAGTATATGAACAGGTATGGAAATTTAATTTCTTTTTTTTCAAGGAGATGGAGAATTCAGAATTTGAAAAAAAATTGGCTTTTGATATTAACAAGAAAAAAAAAAAGGTTTGTCATTATTAGAATCCAAGTTTATATCTTTTCCATATGTTCATATAAATTTTAAAGCTACTTATTTGCAGAGAATCCTAGGTATTAGAGGCAAACTGAGTAAGTGCTCTTGCTTTCTAACAGATTTATTGTATGATTTTGGCAAGCATCTTCACTCATCTATGCTTTCAGTTCCTGATTTGTAAAATGTGGATAATAGTGTTTAACTACTTAATGGATGGGGAGACAAAGATTGCTAAGTATTCAGATGTTAGGGTTTGTTGTTACGAATAGAGAAGAGAGATATGAGGTTGCAGTCCTTTATATACATCAGGGACTACCTCTTAAAATTTTACACTGTTAAAAATAGATGTTTAGACACACAGGTTCATTTTCTCCTCCTGGAATATGGGTATAGTCACTGGCCAGCATGCAGCAGTTACCAGGAGTTTCATGTGATACCATCAATGCATTCTAAGGAATTAAAGTTTAAATCTCGTCAGACTAGGACCAAATAACGGATGCAGTTATTCTCTGAATTAAAGATATAGTTGTAAATTTAAATATTCTCTCTTGGAGAGGAGTTAGTATTACTATAAAGTGTTTAGTAGTGACTGTTACCGTTGTAGGTATTCTTTTATTACACTTTTATATTTCCTTTACATTTTACATTTGGCATTTCTCAAAAAAAAAAAAAGGTGTGTTTTGTCTAATACTGCACTAACTGTCATAGATGACGTGCAGCTGTTTGCATCAAAAAATGTACAGAAGAAATGTTCTAATTATGAGAAAATCTTTTGTGGTCAGAAAAACAAGATTTAAATAATTCATCTCTGCACTTTTCGAAGAAACTAAAGAAAGAGTTCATTAATAAAATAAATATATAGACCAAATAGAAAACTAATATATCTTGTATTTTAGCAAAAAAATAAAGCTATAATTCTAAGTGCTTTACATTTTGAAACATCATTTTTTTCCCTCCCTTAACTTCTCTTTTTAGGTACGAGCGAAATTCACAGTCGATGATCATAGTCACTACCTTTTTACACCATGTATTCTAACTCAGTGGGTTCTTGGTTTATTCAGATATGATTTAGCAGGTGGTAAGTCACGTACTTGGTTTTCATTGGTAAAGCATTTCTAATAGCCTGAATTATTATTGATGTCAGTCTTACTGTTGACTCCACATGCAGCTTGTTCGCCTATGGTACTCTTCTTAAACTTTGAACTGTCTGTAACTCAGTAGAGGGAAAAAAAGCCTAACGGTTCATTCCATAACATGTAGTAAACAAGTTTAAAAGCCCCAGTGATGCTTTAAAATATGTGTGGGAGCTGTTTGTAAATGAAGGGAAGTTAGTAAGGTGGGACTGCATTCTCTACTATGAGGAATTGAAATGTACCCCCTAGTCCCCATCATTTTTTTCTGTTTCTTTTTGGGGGGGTGTGTTGGGGTTTTTTTCAGCGTGTCTGTCTTCTGGATTCCCAGGAACTTGCCTGTCACGCTTGTCTTTTTATACCTGATTGTATAAACGTGGTGAAGTAACTATGGAACTTCAACTAATACACATCATTTATGACTTGCTTAACAAAAAAAGAAGAATATAACCACCCTTAAACATACAGAAACATCTAGAAAACTATCTCATTAATGTAAAAGTTTACAAATATCTATAGAAGAGCCCAAATATTTTCACGATTTGGGAATGCTTGAAAATTACAGTCTAGTCTGAAAGTTCTTCTTTCCTTAACTATGGAAATTATGAAATTTTTAAAGATATTTGATTTTGTATGCTTTTCCTAATCACAGCATAGGCTTTCTTCTAGTCTTGTTTTTGTCTTTGAAATTGCTATTATTACTAGATCATGAGCAATTACACTTCATTGTGTTTTAGCTTCTACATTAGTTAAAAGGCTACACCGAGGGCTGCTTAAAGAGTACGAAAGTGATAGGAATGTTGTGCTCACTCTTGGGTCATAGGATGGTATATATGTAGCTTGAATGAGGTCAGAAAAGCTACACTGACAATCAATGCATGGGTAATCCCAGCCTATTTAAGGACTCCATTGCTGTATCTGAGGGTGACATATACACACACTTTTTCAGTGATGAACAATATGGCTTGTCATTTACTCATCTCACCTTCCTTCTTACTTTTTTGAAGAATATTGCAGCTTTGTATTTTCTAATGGTGTTTCGTAGTACAAACTGTTGCTGGTATTTATTGTTATTTTAGTATTTGTTATCAGTCTTTCTCTTTCCCATCTTCTCTTCCGGCTTTTCTTGTTTTGATTACCTGGAATTTTGCCTTTTAACTTTAACTTTGTGTGCAATACCTTGTTCATTTTCATTAGAATTCTGGCACTGAGGTGGAGCACTTGTTTTAATAAAATATGTTTCATTTTATTTTGTAATGATCCTTAAAGGTATTATTAAAAAAACACTTAATAATGTTTACTTTTCCTCTTATTCCTTCCTTACTGATGCTCTCATGCTGGTATGTAATTTCACTTTCTGTTTTTCAATCTCATATTTTAAAATGTAAAATTTGAGACATGTAAAATTTATTATAAATATTTAAATTTAAGTCTCTCCTTAAATTTTGAAGGATCATCAATACAAACTGCAGACTATGTGTTGGAAATCGTTGCTTACGAAGCACATCGTTTGTTCCGTGATAAACTTGTTGACATGAAAGAACTTCATATCTTTGATAATATTTTGATGAAAGTGTTTCAAGGTGATTGGGGCTCAGATGTTCTGGACAATATGGCAGGTAAACCATTTGAGGCATACTACACAAACTTGAAATATTTGTTTAGGAGCTGCTTAATCAAATCAGTCTGATCAAGTCAGATAGCATGTGAGCTGAGCACCTAACCTTTCAAATGTTGCATTTGATTTTCACAGATACCTTCTATGTAACCTGGGGAGCTTGTCAAGAGGCATTCATCACACCAGGACAGGCACTACCACCACATGGGAGGCCACTTGGCAAACTAAACTCAACAGACCTGAAAGATATCGTTCAAAAAGTGAGACAAGATTAAAGAATGTAGACAGCAAGGATTCACAGCAATTATTCTAGATATTTTTTGCAGGAAGTAGCATGCAACAGCCAGCTTTAGGGTGGGGTCTACTGCTTGGTCAAGTGAGGGAAGGTTTGTGCTGTTACGTGGCATCATCTTTTGTACTTGGTCAAGTGAGGGAAGGTTCATGATGTTATGTGGCAGGCAGTAGGAAGTATCATCTAGCAAGGTTATTTTAATGAAAGGGCATCAGTTGCATTTGCTGGTGATTTGCAGTGGTTTGATGTGCAACATTGATGTGCATATGTATTTGTGTATTGTTCAAGAACCAAAGGGTTTTAGTAAATATTTACTTTCTGAATTTGTAATTTGCTAAAGTAATTTTGATTTGAAGAAATACAAATGGATTGTTTGGAGATTTGTAATGTACGAAACCTGATCTTGATGAGGAAATGCGAATGTGTTAACTCTGCTAGGCTGACTGATTTTCAGGATGAGAGCTTTGGTATCATCTGCCCTTATTAGCAGGGTTTGATGGACTGCTCTTGCAGATGGGAAACTGCTCCCTCTCCTTAACTGCCAGCTTGTGACCAATAGACTGCATGGGAAATGGTGAAGTTCAGTAGCCTCGGTAATAAGAGTCTTTTTTTTTCTGACTACACTATTATGTTGGGCTTCAAAGTTGAGGTTTTATTAAGTATAACAAGGTCTGAATTTAATTTTTGGTTCTGTTATAATGTGTGTTTCACTAGGAGATTCCATAATCTGTGATTATGCAGCGATTAGCTGTCTAAAACATTCCTCTAAATTGTGTATTAATTAATCTGTAGTCAGCGGCACAGCTCAGACTTTGTTCTGGTCCATTAATTAATTATAATTAATTCAGTGGTAGATTTCTATTTCAATATATTAAAGACTTCTAGGATATCCTGGTGCTGAGGGTAATGTGATGTGTTCATTACTGGTAAAGGCTAGGCAGAGTATCTAAATTCTGTCACATAAATAATTTATTCATAATGAATACTAGTGTGGTCTGTTAAACTTTCAAGCCATTCTTTTCTGAACTTTTAAATGTTGGATGCTTTCATACCTCACTGCTTCTAATTATTAGTAGTGAATGCATTTCTTTTTTTCTCTTTTTTAATAGGGTATTATTCATTATGGGCGAGACAAAAAAGAGATAGATATCTTACTGTTCCATGAAGTCCTCAGTTATATGTCTAAAGTGGACAGAGTGCTAAGTTTTCCTGGAGGATCACTTCTTTTGGCAGGACGGAGTGGTGTAGGTCGTCGAACAGTTACCTCTTTAGTTAGTCATATGCATGGAGCTGTTTTGATTTCTCCCAAAATTTCCAGAGGCTATGAACTGAAGCAGTTCAAAAATGATCTTAAATATGTAAGTCACTCAATGGTTTCCACTTTATAGCGTTGTAGGCGTGTATTAAAATAAAAAACAAGCACATGGGAATTTTGAAGGGCACAAAAGTGTTGTGTGAAGAGATATTTTAAGAAAAGCAAAATGTCAGCAGTCTAAATGAAACAAGTAGATTTTTAGAACTTCTCAGTGTCAGGACTAGTATACTGTTCTTTATAGTAATTACCTGAAACTCGACTGTTTTGAATACCAGAGGTGTTTTTATGAGTGTTGTGGACTTCATAAATTCTAAGTTTATGGGAATATTGGAAAGGGTTTTTTCATATATGTATTTTCATATTTGTATATAATTTTATTTTCTGTCTCTACTATGGCCTGCCAGTTAACAGGATAGTAGCTGAATCAAGTAAAATTTTAGTGATTGATGAAATTAAACATATTATTTAAAAACAAATGCAAACCCTGAATCATGAGTTTCCTAGTACCTTTAGCAATGCTAAAGAAAAATTTAGAGCTAAGCCCACACAAAAAAGCAATACAACTCTATAATTGAGTCACATCTGGAACATAAATATGTTCTGTGAAAGAGTCTGTTTTAACTATTTTTTTCATTACCATGCTATCCATTTAGGTAGAATGTTATTTATATTTGATATCTCTTATAACTGAATCACCCAGTAATCTTCTGTAAATATATATTAGTGTAGATGCTGTGGAGAAAATATATATGTAATATATAATCAAGGAAAGATTATAATTCTCTTACAAACAATACATATACTCAATATACTGAGTTTTAAATGTTTTCCTTGCTTCTAGGTGATGGAGCTTGCAGGCATTGAAGCAAAGCAGGTGGTATTGCTGCTTGAAGACTATCAGTTTGTTCATTCCACGTTCCTTGAGATGGTCAACAGTTTATTGTCTTCAGGTGAGACAAGTCCAAAAAGATTATGGTTCTACTTTTACCATGCAGATTTAGGTCAGTGAGGCAGGCTTAGGTGATGCTTTCTAACTTCATGTCCATAGGAGAAGTCTTACTTAGCTTTATACATTGTTTTAGCTAGAATGCTTGTACATGAGAAACTGATTTTCAGTTCACTTATCTATCCTTTAAACTATCCTACAGTATGTGTGCTTTCAATTCCTCAAAGTTGCAATAAAGTAACTTATTTCAAAGGAGTTCTTTATAATAGTGTAACCACAAAATGATAATATATTCTACTGTGCAGCTTACCTTTTCTAATAAAATTTAAAATTGAGAGGTGTTCCAATGTTTTACTAGATTGTATAGACTGAATCCTTTACTTAAATGAACACCAGCAAAGCCTAATTTTCTGAAAGTAATGAGATGATAAATAACAGTAACAAATAACAAAAATGACTTGGTTATCTAGCTTTGTTCCTTGATCAGGGGGATCATTGAAGCACTCTTACCAAAAGTTTTTTCGAACTGCAGTAGTTTAAGAGCTCACTGATAAAAGCAGCAGATTTTCCTGTCTCCTAGGGTGCAAATCCAAGGTTTTTACAGTATCATATTCTCATCATCCAGTGTTAAACCTCTGTGTATTTGATCTGACATTTTAAATTCATTCTTGAAATAGGAGATGTTCCTGGGCTATATAAAATAGAAGAATTGGAACCATTGCTATCTCCTCTGAAGGATCAAGCTTCACAAGATGGATTTACAGGACCAATTTTCAACTATTTCACATACCGTATGTGAACAGAATTATAAGTTTTAATATATTACAAAATTACAAAAGTGGTATAATAGTGTACAAATAATTTCTAACGCAGTCCTTATTTTGTGTGCATTTTTATTTTTCAGGTTCTTGTTAAAAACCAGGCAGGAATATGATTACAATGTTATGTTTGGGGGCACAGAACTCTCAGTTTAAAATTCATTTTTTGGACTGTGTGTCTTTTGGATTTTGTATCCATGAAAGTTTTGCAAAACTGCTATGAAATCTGCTGTTGAAAGTAAATAGAAGGAAGAAAACTCTTGCCCCCATCATTTTCTGGTTTATTTAGCTTATATATCAAGTTACAGAGTTTTCTTCTATTTTTCAATTATACCTGCAAATACTTAGGTGTCTGAGTAATCATAAGCAAGTTTACAGCTAGGTTTCTTAATTATTTGTGTTTCTTCCGTGGACCAACAAGAAGATTAAATAGTTTACAAATAAATAGAAGAATGTGGCTGAAAGAATACAGATGCTGGCAGTTACACTCAAAGGCCTTGGAACTATTTCTTGGTTCTGTTGGTCTATACTAGTGGTATCTATTTAAATACTACCAGCTCTTCTAAATTTAAAAAAAAATATACACTTTAACATACATAATGAGAATCCATGATAGTAAATTAATTTAATTTCTGTTTATAAACATTCCTGACCTAGTGTGGAATCTTTTTGTTTCAGAAATTACCTTGTGGTAAGTATTTGGAAGACAGTAATTTATGTTGTATTTGCAATAAGTCTACCATCATGTAGTCAGATTATTTACTAAATATTTAATATGTTGTCTTTTCCTAGGCATCCAACAAAACCTGCATGTTGTCCTGATCATGGATTCTACCAATTTAAATTTCACAATAAACTGTGAAAGTAATCCAGCACTGTACAAGAAATGTCAGGTTTTGTGGATGGAAACGTGGTCAGAAAACAGTATGAAAAAGGTAAATTGCATTAAGGAAAAGCTGTGACTTGTTTAAATTAGTATCTCCTGAAAATAACTGAGCTTTCGTGAATAAGATCAAAATATTTGAAGTTGTGAAGGAATAATTGTCACTGTGCTCATTTAATCCATTTGTGCAGTACTACAAAGACAGAAAATTCTGCAGAACAGTTAAGAACTATTCACATTGTTATTTTACCACTAACACTAATTTCTATTCTCTCTGTGGGCTGACTTGAACAAAATGCTAACTATGACTCTGATCAAACACGGCATTTAAGAACAAAATTCAAATAGACTCTAAGCGAAATGTTAAAGCCAACTGTATTGGGTTTGCATGGCAAGGTTTTGGTAGTGAGGGACTACAGAGGTGGCTTCTGTGGGAAGCTGCCAGAAGTTTCCCCCATGTCTGATAGAGCCAAATCCAGCCGGTTCCAAGGTGGGACCCATCGCTGGCCAAGGCTAAGCCCATCAGTGACAGTGGCAGCACCTCTGCTATAACATAGGTAAGAAGAGGGGAAAAACATCAACTGCAACCGGAGAGCTGTTTCTGAAGGACTGTGTCCAGTGGACAGGACCCATGCTGGAGCAGTTTGTAAGGAAGTGCAGTCTGTAGGAGAGACCTCTCACTGGAGCAGGGTAGGAGTGTGAGGTGTCCTCCCCTGAGGAAGAAGGAGCGGCAGAAACTGACCCCAACCCCCATTCCCCACCCCTTATGCTGCTGCCGAGGGAGGAGGTAGAGAATTTGGGAGTAAATTTGAGCTTGGGAAGAAGGGACGGGTAGAGGGAAGGTGTTTTAAGATTCATTCTTTATTTCTCATTATCCCACTCTAATTTGATTGGTAATAAATTAAACTAATTTTCCCAAGTTGAGTCTGTTTGGCCCATGATGGTAATTGGAGAGTAATCTCTCCCTGTCATTATCTCAGCCCATGAGTATTCAGCTGTTTTCTCCCTTGTCCAGCTGAGGAGGGCAGTGCTGTTCTAGTGTGCTTGACACCTAGTTAAAAAATACGTTTGTAGTGTGTATATGAGCTGCTCTAAATCTAAGACTGCACTGCAAACCTCATGTTATTCTTCAATATTTGTTAAATATTTTGCTTGATGGAACAGAGTCCCTGTGTTCTTTTTAGGATCAAAATTTGCTTATTTCAGGGTGGTCACAGTGTAAGTGTGAGATATATATTGCTTATATATGTTTGAGATTGCCAAATTCAACATCCTGATAGAGGCAAGGCTGCCATAGCTTCACAGCCCCAACTTGCACCAGCGGTGAAGCTGAGCGTGTATTCCCAGTAGGCATAGACATAGGTGCACACATATACAGCACATGTATACATCTAATTGGCCACACAGAACAACATAAACAGAAACCCTCAGCACAAACACAAACAGTGCTGTGCATTATCCTGTTCCCTTCTATGAGTGATCATAGTGAAGGTCCATTAGTGGGAAATGTGTACATGTGAAGAATGTGGATTTCCTTGCTAGCTGGGCACAGACACTCAGACCCTTCAGTAATTGCCTCTGGATGCCCTGGTCTCCCCGCTTGCTGGCATCTGGATGTACAAGCTCCTGAGGCCACAAACCCACTCCAGCTGTTCACATACTGCCTTACTGCACACACACGCATGCAGTGGATTTTTCCAGTAACTGGGCTTAGACATCCAGTCCCTCTGGTAGCTGGCCTTGGATCTAGGATCTCCTTATTGCATCCTGCATAGGCACATACACATACATGGACACAGAGAGATACATGCAGTTGGGTCTCATTTGACTCCCAGGCTCCAGTCTTTCAGGCAGTTGACCTGGACCTTTTAGTACCTCTGCCAACCAACCCCTGCAGGTGCTCCACCAGGCCATAGTAGGTCTTGTGCAATCTGAAATGGTTTTCCATTGCATTCCATAACGTGTCCCAAAATTCCTATGGAGTAATCCCTTCAGTCTAGTCTGTTAGGTGATCTGGCCTCTGCCATTCACATCTGGGATGGGTTTCACACCTGGACCATGGGGTTGGTCACTCTCATGTGAGAGCTGTGGGAGCTGGTGACACGTGTCCTGTTCTGCCAGGGTTACTGGGGCTTCTTCACTTCCCATTGTGCCTCAGTTTGAACGGCAGGTTGTACTAAAAGTTCATTTGGCAAAAATATTTGGACCAGTTCTATCCACAGGTAAAAGAAAATATTTTTCAGGGTATTTTCACTTTCACTTCAGTAGGGATTTTTTTTTATTTTTATTTTTTAAGTGGAGTCTTATAATTTAGTTATATGCCAGAACCTTTGGAAATACTTTGTTTATTTTTACTACTGTATATTGTATAGTTGATAATAAATCAAGGTAAGCCCACTCACAGAACATGAAAAAGACTTCAAAGACTTAGACTTAGGCATTGTTTAATTCCAGTGTTGTATCCACAACAGTTGTACTTCAGACTGGCTGATTTTCTGAGTTGTATATCTTTTTACATCTTTGACATTTGGGTTATTGTAAGAGTCCTCTGAGAATTAAGTTGCTTTTTCTTACAACGAGCAAAAGCTGTTTTTGCTGGAGAGAACAGGAAATTATCAGTGACAGGGAAAGACAGAACTGATCTTTTTAATGCTATATATATTCAATAAATACCTTGTTCTGAATAAAGTGATCATATTCAGTCTTTTCAAATAAGAAACTAGATTAAAGGTTTAGTTTTTTTAATTCTAACTAAAATTTTCATTCTTCATGATTTTCATACAAAAAAGATCATGCTCATTTTTTTAGATACCGGAAATGCTTCTGAATGATGCAGATGAACAAGAAAAGACTGGAAAAGCACATAAGGAACTTAAGAAAAAACACTCAGGTAATATTTAGGTGGACCCACTAGTTATTATTATTGAAACACTTGCCACTTTTGTGTTGGGCATAGATAGTAGCATAGATACTCTGAGTCTGGTTTAGCGGCATATTCATAGACTTTAGTGTTGTTCACATGGCAGGCGTTTTGAGCAACATTGGTGTAGAGCATACATCCTGGCTGGCTAAACCAGTCTCTTCTGTCACAAGCAATTGCTGCATATATTCATTCTTATAAAGTGATTAAGCCTCATCTTGTTTTGTTTTGTTCTGTGTCTTCCTTCCATGTGGATGTTATTTTACAACCTCAGAATTTGATAATTTTAGAGTTGTTCTGCATGTTTTCATTATTCTTGTCCTAGACCTGGTTATTTTGCTTTAATAATTCTTATTCTCCAATAACTAATTTCTTGTAAATAATGCCCCTTTTTCAGAATAATTTGGTTTTATAAGACTTTAAAACTTAAAATTTGAAATTTAAACATTTTTAAAATATGGTGTCAATCAGTAATCTGGGAGACCGGTACCAGCACTCATTTGCATAGTACTTTTAGCCACTTTTCATAAAACATTAGTTTAACTAGTATTTAGAAGTCATGGAGCCAACAGAGTATGAAATGGGGAGTGGTTCACTGAGGGTTTCTTGTTCTATACAGCTTTATAATATGCATTCCAACCTATAAGAATAATGGGCAAGCTTAGGATTTTGTGTTCATGCTACCATTCATCTTTATTCTATATCAAGGTACTTAACTCAGTACTTACTGAAGATACTGATTTATATGTAGATACATATATTTTACAGTATTTTACGGTTTATTTTACAGTATTTTACAGTTTTTTTGGGGCTTTTTTGAGAAACTGTTCAACAAACTGAAGTACCTGGAATGTTCAGAAAAAAATTCTAGTATCCCTGTCATCAAAGATAAGGAAGAAGACAATAACACATGGGCTTCATTTCTAAAAAAGTCCAAGTATTTTCAAATTCTGTTTCTGTGGAAATGAAGATTCTTTGATTAACCCTCAGTAATCTGCAATTAATTTTGCCTTATTTCCAAACATCAGTGAAATGTTTTGCAGCTCTGAAACAATTTCAGTATATTTCTTTTTGAGGAATATGTATTTCAAGTGTAATTGCATGTTGTTTCCCTGAAAGTGTTTGAAAAGAATGTATTCTTTGTGAATTTTTTAATGCCCTTAATTCATAGCTGAAAAAACATACTCTGTTGCTCTTCCATAGTTATTTTAATGCGAGATAAGAATGAAAATATTATTGTCTGTGTAACAAATTATGTTGTACAGGCGATTCTGATTTTCTGAAGTCATTTCTGGCAATCCACGAATCATGTAAAATGTATGGAGCAACACCTAGCAGGTATATGACATTCCTTCGTACATACAGTACCATCAATAACAGTAAAAGAAGAGAGCTAATAAAAAGGCAGAACCACCTGCAGGTATGTATATAAAATATCTTTAACATATGGCTTGTCAAAATACTCTCGCATTTGGAAATGCCTTGTGTAGCTGCTAACATGGTTGTGTGAGGTGTCCTCTGTTCATATATGCTCATGCTCTGATTTCAGGAAAGGAATAGTATGAATTTTAGTGCACATTCTTGTTCAAATGCCTCAAAGAGTGAAGAGTAGTTTCTTGTTTTTGTTAATATTTTTTCTTCAAGAATGTATGAGACTGGAAGAGTAAATGTACTTGAAAGCACATTAATTTTTTTTCATCTGAATGTATTGGAATTATGTTGCAAACAACGCATCATCTTTCCTTCAGTTTAAGTCCTGCCTCTGTTGGTATAAATTTTCCCAATGTAGCTACATATTTCATCCCTTTTCTTTATATCTCTACAGCACCTTCCTGCTTTGTGTGGTTCTTGCTAGTTCAACAAGCAGTTTTCTTTAACCTCATGGTGCTCGTGTGTAGCTTTGGCTGAGATTCTCTTTGTTATGATTCTCTTTCAGTTTGTGATTTTGAATTGATTTTGAATTCATTTACCATGCATCAGACCTTTACACATTTCTAGACCAAATGCAGTTCATCTAACAGATGTCGCTTTCCTCCTGTTGTCTATGCCTAACATGCTTGTTTTTGAAACCTATTTCTTGTTTTGAAATGCGTGATATTTCCAGTCATACATACTTCTCTTCCTCCTCCTCCCGGTATATTTCTGGAAAGACCTTCTGCATGATCCTTCAGGATATGGAACTTTTGTCTTTGCCATTCTCCCTTCCCTTTCAGCCCCTTTTCCCAGTGCTGCTATTCTGAAACCACACTTGTAAAGCTGTGTTTCTTCTTAAAGCATCTGTCAAGATTACTTCTTTGCCTTGTATTCTACACTCTTTTTATTCTGCCTGGCAATATTTTTCTGTCTCTGTAGTAAGCTATTTAAGAAGATTTACATCTGTAATGATGGAAATTGCCTTAGTATTTATTTAGAAAGTAGCTATGGTTTGTTTGTGACAGACACTCATTTACTTGTAAAATGTTCTGGTTAAATAAAAGTAATCATTTAAGTGAAAATTAGAGAAGTGTATCCTAAATCAAAACATCTTCTAGGTAATATTTTTTCCCCAGTACATCTTTAAATGATTCTGTTATCATTACCATAGAGTAAATAATTTAGACAGTGTGCATAAAGAAAATAATTAAGCATAATTGAGGCTTTGCTTTATGAGATGTATGTTCTTTAGAAAATGTACAAATATGTAGAAATAGGATAGCCTAATTTGTTCTTACTTAATTTTTGTCTATTTGCTTTTAGAGAAGATCTGAGGTGCTAGTATCAGTTAACTGTAATGCTTTTGAATTAATGAGAACAAGATTATGTACTAGTTGCTGTTCCATTAAAAGTTTATTTAGACAGTTTTGGGTTTGACTTTTTGGTGTAGTAACAGATCTTACAGCAACACATCTAGAAGTTTTAAATCTCACTTTTGGTTTAAATAATACTAAGAAAATGTAAATATTGAGACTATGTGGAATATAAATTAAAAAATTAAGAATATTAATCTACAACACTTACAGTTTGTGCATAATGTTTGTAACCAATCTTAATTTAAATCCTTTTAAAATTCATTTCTCCATAACTGCTTTTTATAAACATTTATAGGCAGGTGTTTCAAAGCTGAATGAAGCTAAAGCCCTGGTAGATGAACTGAACAGAAAAGCTGAAGAGCAAAGCATTTTACTTAAAACAAAGCAGGATGAGGCTGATGCTGCCCTTCAAGAAATTACAGTATCCATGCAGGTGTTGTATACAATGACATCAAAAAGTTGGGAAAAAAAAGATGTGCTTTTCTATTTTTGGTCTCTTGCCTGTGCTTTGTTTTTTTCAAGGGTTACAAAACCTGTTGCTTTTACAAGAATTTGCCTAAGAGAATGTATGAGCCCTGAGGCTTGAATAAACTGCAGTAGGACAGAGAATTATGTAATTGAAATCGTATTTGAACTGATGGAGTAGGACAAGATCAGTGCAAGTTTTGCACCTGAGTACTATTTACTGCTGTAGTTTATTCTGAAAATTTTCTTAGAAATGCACAAATCCAAACTGATCCATTTTATTTTTACTACAGATAGGAACCTTAAACAAAATACTGACAAGTAGCATAATTTTAAGTAAAAAATACCAGTAATTATATTTGTGGACTGTTCAAAAGAACGTATTTCCTGAGGTCCAGTCCTCCTAAAGTTCACATCAGAGAAAGTTAAATAATACCTCTGTGTTCATCACTCCTTGAATTTTTATTCTTCAATTCAGAGGTTTTTGAGAAGGTAATTTTCTTTAGTAGTGTTTTCTCAGTTAAGTAAAATAATTGTGCAGAAAATAGATCTCTACATTAATATTTACAGGAATCATAAATGTAGGATAAGCCATAATGAATCTGCTGTCTCTGCACTGTTTGTTTTGTCACTGATTTAGTCTGATCCGTCTGAAGAAGGTTCAATGCCAAAGAATATGTTTAATGCTCTCTATTTGCACATAAATTTGAATAATGATGATTGGTTTGGCTTGTTCACTGCTGGCCCCCAAGAATTTATTATGCCATTTTTCTTGTTTTCTATTTTAAATCTGTGTCTGTTTTTGTCCAGTAGAGTTACAGGTTGTGTGGGTAGCTCATATCACATTGTAGGACAAAATCAAAGAATAGGCCAACAGCCATAAAACAGGATGGGCCCACTGACATCAGAAAAATTACAGTAGAATTCTGCTTATTTAGATTAGCATGAAGAATAGGCGCCCTCTAACATTTTAATGTCACTTCAAATGTTCTGGTTTATGAAAGAGAGAGCGATCTAATACATGCAGACTCTTTTAATCTTCTTTCAGAGCAAAGCTTTTGACCTACAACTGAATTTTAAGGTTTTCTTATTCACAGCCATCATTCAGTACATGTACATTTGTATGAAATGTCTAATCGAGTTTTATATAGCTAATGTTTTATGGATTTGAATATGATCTTCAGTGACATGCTGGTCTATAGCTTGGGTTAAGTGCTCAGAAAGGTTATGGTTAATCTCAAATTTTTTCAGCTTATGTGTATCTGTTAACTTCTGCTACAAGTTAAACTCAGCTCAGCAATTGCTGCTGATAATTCTGTGTTTTATACTGGGAAAACGTAAACTCTGGGCTTTGTTGTATCTTTTAGGTGAACTGAGCCTAGAAGATTAGTCTTTTATTTTCTGCATTTTATGCATTTATCCTCAATTATTTGTTTTGTAGCTGGCATTGGTAGTCCCTGAAATTTTAGTGTTTGTTTTTTGTTTATTTGTTTGTTTTGTTTTGTATGTTGATTTTTTTTTTTTGTCTTTTTGTTTTGGGGTTTTTTTGGTTTTGGTTTTTTTTGTTTTGTTTTGTTTTCTTCCTTTTTTTTTTAATACTTTTTTTTATTGTTGTACTGAAGTGCTTAGGAGCTCTGGAGATGGCTAATAGATGCCATCTCCTGTATGGTAGTGTCCTGGGTTCAGCTACAGCAGTCGTTTTTTCTCCTTCTTAGTAGCTGGTGCAGTGCTGTGTTTTTGACTTTCAGTCTGGGAACAACGCTGATAACACCGATGTTTTTAGTTGTTGCTAAGTAATGTTTACTCTGACCAAGGACTTTCTCAGTCTCATGCTTTGCCAGAGAGGAGGGGAAGC